GTGAATAGTTCCGTCTGAAATGAATGAAAATAGTTGTTTTAATGGTTATTGAGTCAGATATGTGGCGGTAATGTTTGGTTTATCTAAAGGTTTTTATCTGTTACTGTGTAAATGGGTTTGGCTGGAATTTAAGGACAGATTCTAATATATCTGCAGGGTGGGGACTATAAATCTGATAGGATTTTTATCTTTTTATTGGTGTTTTGCACAATATGCTTAACTTCGTATTTTTTGTTGTTGAATATTAGAGATTTTGCAGATATATTTTTTATAAATATATTGTTTAGATTTACTTATATCTTTCTACCCCTTTTATAGAATAGAAAATCCCTTTATTTTCCCACAATGGGAAAATTTACAGCAGCAGAAAGATTATTGAAAATGGTCACACAAATGTGGACCTTAGGAAAAAAATGTATAAGAATAACATAATAGGGAAGAGTTAAAATATAAACAATAAAATCCTGTAAAGTGTTTTAACAATATAAAACTGGGGAATAAATAACCAATATGCAGCTATGGGCATTTTTACAGTAATGGATATTTGAAAATAGCAGCAGCATCAGAGATGTGCAGAATGACAGCAGCAGGTTATTTAACTGACTAAGGTTTCTATCATTACATTTGATTTGATTTGTTCCTGCTCCCGGTGGTTGGAACCTTTATTCCACTCTGGATTCTTGTGAGTGTAGTCTTTGATCACTTCACAATAAAAAACAAATAAATAAACAGTTTTGAAAACTTCTGTATTCATTCTTTTCCTGCTTTGTGTGTCAACGTTCACGGTTGTTAAGCAACAGAGCATACGGCGGTAAAACCTGCCGAAGGGTGGACCTGTTCGAATTTACAGCCAGAACTCTTCCGGTCTCCTTATTTTCAAGTACTTCGAAGGATCCAGTCTAGGTAGACCGCGTCCTTGGAGGTCCCGTCCTAGGTTTTCGAACAGAGCCATGATCTATTTCCAGGACTTTCTTCCAGGTTTCTTCCGGAAGGATTGAGATGCAGCTCCAATGAAGTTACCTAGTCAGTTAATAATTCAGGGGAATTAAATCCTATTAAAAATCAGTGTTTAAGGGTTTAAATACTTTTAATACGCAGGGAATCCCTGGAAATGTGTTAAAGAGATGAACCACTGTTATTTTGGAGGGTCTAAGTGCGGATATATGGACTTAGAAGTTCAGTTTTTTTGTTTATATCATGTTAACATGGCGGATTTTGAGCTGAGCGGTTTTAGCGTTTCTAAATATTTAACCGTCCAGTTTTACCTGATGTGGCAGTGTCGCCCCAGAACCCAGAGGCGCAGCCGATCCGGACCGTTTTCTGGTGACTGTAACACCTGGAGCCGCTTCTGCTGCTCTGCTGGACCGAGCCGCAGCGAGGCAGACAGTTAGCCCTGAAACTGGCGCGCTTTCTGGCGCCCCCTCTGCGCCACGGCCGGAGTAACCGAGGGAACCCAGACATGCTTCATAAAACGGGACGTTTAGACATGAGACCAGAAAAGAGGAGGAAAGTCCAAACTGTTTCTGTACGGAGTTCAAGGTGCACTGGTGCGTCGATAAAAACAGTCCCTTTTGAAACAAACCACGGAGGTTCCGCTTTTTCTTCTTCTTCTTGAATTTATTGTAGCATTACCGCCACTTACTGGTATGGAGTGTGGTTCGTGATGGACTACTATGTAGTTATAAATATATATATATAAATTGTAAGGGAAAAAAATATTTATATAATATAAATATATATATATATATACATATATATAGGCACACACACACAATTATACATACTAATATATAACTTTGTATTCTACACATCAATATCATACCCACATTCTGTAAAAGTAAAAAAAAAAAACAATCCACTGGACTTGGTTTTTCTCTCTTAACATAGATGGTTTCCTTCACGCCCCTCTCAAACCACCAATTTTCTTTATCCAGAATGTGAACATTCTGGTCCTCAAAAGAATGTCCTTTGTCCACAAGGTGTAGATGTACTGCAGAGTCTTGTCCAGAGGAGGGCGCTCTTCTGTGTTGGGCCATGCGTCTGTGGAGAGGTTGTTTGTTTCTCCAATGTAAAGATCAGAGCATTCCTCGCTGCACTGAACAGCATACAGGTGCTGGTCATAAAATTAGAATATCATGAAAAAGTAGATTGATTTCAGTAATTCCATTTAAAAAGTGAAACTTGTATATTATATTCATACATTACATACAAACTCATATATTTCAGATGTTTATTTTGTTTAATTTTGATGATTACAAATGACAACAAATGAAAATCTCAAATTCATCATATCAGAAAATTAGAATATTACTGAAGACCAATAAAAACAAAGGATTTATAGAAATGTTGGCCAACTGAAAAGTATGAACATGAAAAGTATGAGCATGTACAGCACTCAGTATTTAGTTGGGCCTCCTTTGGCCTGTATTACTGCAGCAATGCGGCATGGCATGGAGTCGATCAGTCTGTGGCACTGCTCAGGTGTTATGATAGCCCAGGTTGCTCTAATAGTGGCTTTTAGCTCTTCTGAATTGTTGGGTCTGGTGTATTGCATCTTCTTCTTCACAATACCCCATAGATTTTCTATGGGGTTAAGGTCAGGAGAGTTTGCTGGCCAATTAAGAACAGGGATACCATGGTCCTTCAACCAGGTACTGGTAGCTTTGGCACTGTGTGCAGGTGCCAAGTCCTGTTGGAAAATGAAATCTGCATCTCCAAAAAGTTGGTCAGCTGCAGGAAGCATGAAGTGCTCTAAAACTTCCTGGTATTGGCTGCGTTGACCCTGGACCTCAGAAAACACAATGGACCAACACCAGCAGATGACATGGCACCCCAAACCATCACTGACTGTGGAAACTTTACACTGGACTTCAAGCAACGTGGATGAAGTGCCTCTCTTCTTTTCCTCCAGACTCTGGGACCTTGATTTCCAAAGGAAATGCAAAATTTACTTTCATCAGAGAACATGACTTTGGACCACTCACCAGCAGTCCAGTCCTGTTTCTCTTTAGCCCAGGCAAGACGCTTCTGACGCTGTCTGTGGTTCAAGAGTGGCTTGACACAAGGAATGCGACAGCAGAAACCCATGTCTTTCATACGTCTGTGTGTGGTGGTTCTTGAAGCACTCACTCCAGCTGCAGTCCACTCTTTGTGAATCTCCCCCACATTTTTGAATGGGTTTTGTTTCACAATCCTCTCCAGGGTGCGGTTATCTCTCTTGCTTGTACACTTTTTTTGACCACATCTTTTCCTTCCCTTCGCCTCTCTATTAATGTGCTTGGACACTGAGCTCTGTGAACAGCCAGCCTCTTTAGTGATGACCTTTTGTGTCTTGCCCTCCTTGTGCAAGGTGTCGATGGTCGTCTTTTGGACAACTGTCAAGTCAGCAGTCTTCCCCATGATTGTGTAGCCAATAGAACTAGACTGAAAGACCATTTAAAGGCTTTTGCAGGTGGTTTGAGTTAATTAGCTGATTAGAGTGTGGCACCAGGGGCCATCAATTTTGAACCTTTTCACAATATTCTAATTTTCTGATATGATGAATTTGAGATTTTCATTTGTTGTCATTTGTAATCATAAAATTAAACAAAATAAACATCTGAAATATATGAGTTTGTATGTAATGTATGAATATAATATACAAGTTTCACTTTTTAAATGGAATTACTGAAATCAATCTACTTTTTCATGATATTCTAATTTTATGACCAGCACCTGTATACCTCTCCGCTCATATTCGGTCTGGGGGTTTTATCTTTAGGATGCACTAGCCTCTGTTTAAGGGTTTTGTTTGGCTTGAAATGTACTGGGATTTTGTGTTTGGAGAAAATCCTCTTGAGTTTTCCAGAAACTCCAGCAACATAAGGGATTGTGATGTTTTTGCGTATAGTTTTCTCCCCGCTATCTTCTGCTGCGTGTCTTTTGGATTTCCTTGCTGATTTGATAAATGCCCAGTCTGGGTATCCACAGTTTTGGAGAGCATCTCTGATGTGTTTCTGTTCTTTGTGCTTCCCTTCTGTTTTAGTAGGGACATGTTCTGCCTTCAAACCTTGGAAACCACGTCCAGTGGATTGCTTTTTTTATTTTACAGAATAATTTAGGTAGTTAACATTGTATTAGTTCTTGAGCTCCTTGAGTTATTTACTGTCACGGGTAGGAGAGTAAAGGTTGAGGCATGATTAAAGGAGGGCCGGCCCTTGCACATTGAAAATAGGACTGGCCCAACGGGCAAATGCCTGATATCACAGATTACAGGATTTGAACATGCTTCTGTTTAGCATCCTCTTCATCCTCATAATCATCTGGGAGGTTCTGAGAAATGTTCAGGCTCAATAAATCAAACGCTCCTTTACCATTAGGCTTCAACCACCATGCTTCAACTGTACTGTGAGATATATATGATCAAGCAAAGCCATTTGGATTCTAATATTTTTCTTAGGGTTCCATTCAATCAATATGAGCCATAGGCCCATTTCACAAGCTCCAAGCACGTTTATTTATCATGATGTTTTGTAGTTTAAGTTTTGCCATAGCCCAACCTTTCACAAGCTGTAGCAGTTGTGCATTAATCTGCGAAGGTTCTGAGGTTCATATTTAGCATGTTGGTTTACAGTTCTTGTCTTTGTTCTCCTCTGCATCTCTGCTTGTGTTTGCATCAACATGCCTACACCAAAGCTTCATTCGCCACATTTGCATACATTTTGGGTTGTTTTACATCTGGATGAGCAGGATTGCCTGGTTTTAGGCCTCGATCTCAAAATAAATGACAAATGAGAACATTAATCACTTAATCCTCGAGGGCCCAGGTTGTCCCTCGAGGATTAAGGAGTCAATATCAGTTGAAACTGACAAGGGGTTTTAATCAAATTTAATAATATGCCCAGTGAGATGAAGTTACATGCCAAAATTTTATCAATTTTGGTTATTTGTTTGTTTAAATCAGACCTGCTTCATGTATATAAATCCACTTCTTTCCCAACGCTCTCGAAGTCAGAAGCTGCAAATAGCTGAAATTTGGTTGATTGACAACGAAAACCAGCAAGATCAGGTACATTCTATTTTTACTGAAATAACAAGTGTATCCATTCAAAATTGTATTTTCCACAATGTGCTGATTTATGGATTGAATCCTGATATTTAAAACTAAGTTATTTGTTTCTGTTTGTTTCTGTCTTACTTCTGAGAACCATCTTCAAACAGTCCTTAGGAAACATTTTTATAGAATATTTATATTTCATAAAATTCATTAAAGCAAAAAGCAAATATCTCATTTGGTTAGCAAAGCATTTTCGAAACATTTTAAGGGGGAGGTTTAACCTGACCATTTCAAATGTCTCTACTGTTTTTCCTTCAGATATGCAGGAGATGCCCTACTGTGCATCAAAAATGGTTATTCTGTGAAAAAAAGTTGTTCTTTTTCTGTCTAGTACAACAATAATGCTCGCAGATTCAGTAAAAATTGTCCTTTGGAAAGAATAATTACATTTTAGTCCTGATGACATTATATATATGTTGAGGACACCAAGATTCTGCACTTTTAATTGTAATGGTTTGCCATTTTTTTATGTAGTTCCCTTAAGAAACATAGAGAATGCAGTATCCTCAGTTCTATTCTACAATTCTATATTGTTGGCAATTGCTAAGGGTACATTTGTACTTCGATAGAGCAGAAAACCATCATTAGTATATGGCAGAAGATTGAAATGTGTCCCATCAAGTCCTTGATGGCTGATAAACTGCAATTTTTTAATATGCTTCTAATCCATCATAATTGAATTACTTCACTGATCATGCTGTGAACAGGTCCATCTGAATAGAACAGATTGCCACAGACACTTAAGCAGTGGCGGCTGGTCAATAGCGTGCTAGTGCAGCCAACAGGGTGTTAGGGTGCTTAAGCCTTAGAAAAAATTAAAATTAAATAACAAAATTTAAATATTTCAAAATATAATAATATATTTTTTTAGATGTGCAAGATAAAGATGTAAATCTGTTCCATTTGTCGTTGGATTGGTGACATATTTCTGCCCACTGGGCGCAAAAAAACGTAGAGAACTCCGGAGTTACTTTCCCACGTACAATAGTGTATTTCCCATTGTCTAAATAAAAGGTAAAAGAATAGAACCTAGGACCAAGAGCCAGGGGCTATAATTTGCCAGAGTTGTCCTACTGATCTCATTATTTGATTCACGTGTCTTAATAAAACATAAATGCATCTAAAAGTCGCAGGACAGTGCCCTCAAGGACTGGAGTTGGACACCTATGTCATAGACTAAGAAGAACAATGAATTCTCTAATCAGGCCAACTCCCTCAACATTTGGTCCACAAGTCTTTATGTTCATATTGTTTGAATTAGAATCAGAAGTAATTAAATCAGAAGAACTTGTATTTATCATAATCAACAGTACAAAGATCAACAATGCTATGTTAAAAGACTGCTTAAAGGGTTTAAGGACAAGATAAAGAAAACAAGAGAAAAGTCATATTTATAAGTGTGATTTTATTACGTAGATGCATGATAATAGAAGGCAGGTTGACTGTTAACTGCTGTGAGGTATTTATCGGGTTCAAAAGAGGAACTGCCTCTCTGGTGGTTTTATTTTGTCAGCTGTTGAGCAGAAATACTTTTATGGAAAACTATCTTCAGCCAGGGGCGGTTCTAGGAAAACATTTCCAGGGGGGCCAAGGTGGGGCCATTGTTTTTTCACAGGGGCACAGAAAGAAGAATGGGAAAAAAAAATGACGATCTTTTTTTAAACAACTTTATTGTTTATTTAGAGCACCAATGAAACAAAAATTTCTATTCAAAATATTTCAAATACAACACATGAGAACAATAAACCTTCACAAACCTGTACACTAACATTTAGGAGACTAACAGTCAAATTTTAATTTCAGTAATCTTGCATGCACGTGCACTGGCAATACCAAATCCTGAAACATTACAATAATAGTATTCTGCGTTTGTGGTTTCGTGCAAAATAGTCCACAAATGCATCAAGATCCAAAGCCTTTGCCCTTCTGGATTCAATGCTTAGCATCCCTAAACTGCTGAGACGTTCATCAGTAATAGTGGACCTGAGGTAGGTTTTCACTAATTTTAGTTTGGAAAAACTTCTCTCACAGGTGGCAGAACTCACTGGGAGTGCAACAGCAATTTTGCACAGTCTAAAAAGCTCGCAGAATACGTCTTTGTATGGCTCAATGAAACGGATCAACTCCACTGTATTAGAAGGGTTTCCAATCTCATGACTCTTTAGTTTTCTCTCTAAAAGTCTCCTGAACTGATGGAGTTCTGGTCCCAGATCCTCAATATTGGCATCATAAAGACGGCCAAATTCAAACAGAGTTGTGTCTTTTAAAAATGCATCACTCTTGGGGTTAAGAGATTGGATACAACTCATCAGCTCACGGTTGGTCTTTGAAAAACGTCTGCTTAGTTCACTAAGCATGCAGTCAATGACAGGATAAAAGAAAGAGGACCGATAAGTTTCTTTATCACAGACTTGCTCCCTCTGACCAACAGAACTTAGTACGTAGTACTCACGGAGTTTGGAACTTTTTCTTCTTTGTCGTTTTGCCAACGACTGGGTGGCAGCATCACACTGCTCACAGATGGTTAATACTTCACCCCACAGGTTGTCAAAGAAGGACTGTTGCCTGAAATCTGTCAAAGTCTGAACCAAACCTTCCACTAAATCTGCTGCTCTTGAGAGGTCAACAGTTGATGACTGCAGCATATCTGAAAGAAGCTTGGTTTCCCCAAACAACTTACGAAGCATAACTAGATGCACAACAAACTCTAGGTCAATCTGGGCCAGAAGACCACGGGCCTCAGAAGACTTTTCTCCCCTGTGCTCTAGTGCCATCTCTTGTAGGACACGTTTTAGGGCAGGTAATCTGTTCATTATGTTACGTAGGGCGATGAACTGACAAGCCCATCGTGTGTCACTTAATTTTTGGAGCTCTCTTGTGCTGCCATACATTTCAGTTTGTACAGCCAGCCATTTGGCATGCACATATGAGCCAGAAGTGAAAACATAAATACTCTGCAACAACGCAAAGAATTCCTCTGCTTCTGGTACTGCTTTGACAGAATCAACTAGCACTAAATTAAGGCAGTGAGCACTGCAGTGGATGTAAAATGCAAATTTGGCTTGCTCTCTGATTCTCGCCTGGACCCCTGAATGCTTACCACTCATCACAGCAGCTCCATCATATGCCTGGCCTATAAGGTTGTTTTTGTAGTCTAGGCCATGGTGTTCCAATAAGCGGACTATCTTTTCAGTGAGCCCCACTGCATCTAGTCTTTCAGCAGATTCAAAATGAAGAAACTCTCCTTGACTGTTCCATTATAATAGTACCTGAGTACAAATGAAATCTGCTCCTGTTTTGAGACATCCTTAGTCTCATCTGCCATGATGCTGAAGAACTGACTGCTTTTTACTTCTTCAATTATTTCAGAACGGACCATTTCTGCTAAACAATTCAGAACCTCATTCTGAATCGTCTTGCTTGTGTACTTTGCGTTGTGAATGGATGTTAGTCTGTGTTTAACAGCTGCATCGTGATTTGCAACTGTTTCAAGAATTTCCCTGAAATTTCCTCTGTTAGTTGATTCCTCAGACTCATCATGTCCTCTCTGTGCTATGTTTTGTCTAGCTGTGAGCAATATTACTTCCCCGATTGTTTTAATATACTCACGGTTTTCTTTTACTTGTTTACTGTGTTCCTGGTTAAGGATATTTTCCAATGTTGTATTAGCTTTCACAGCCCTTTGGTAGTCCTTCCATGCTATCATTGCTTGCTTATGTCTGTCAGATTTTGCATGTACTGAAAACCCTCCCTCTCTTTCAGTTGCTTTTTTCCAATTCCTAAAGCCTGATGGTGAGTCAAACACACTGCCAGAAATATTTGGTGGGCTGAAATGTCTGCAGGCATAGCAATATGCAGAATCCATAATTGCAGAATATTCCACCCAAGGATGACTTTCATACCAGCTTGCCTGGAAGCTGCGTCTTCTGTCCGCCATAACTGTGGTTGGAAACATCTTTAAATTAGGCTGCACTGGTTGATCATCCTTGCACTTACTGATATCTGAAAAGAAATGAATGAAAACATGAGGGTGTAACCGAGAGCATTAGTGGATTTATTCGCTTGTAATTGTATATATTTATTCATTATAATACATTAAGATCATACTGAAAAAAGATGACTAAAATTAAGTAATTGTTTGAAATTATTGTATTTGTCCTTGATTTGAACAGGTAAATAATATTATCTGCCAATGAGAAAGATTTTTGCTCTTAGAATAGTAAAAAATAATCTCTCTCTCTCTCTAAAGTTTCAGATACAATTTACAGACACTTTACACATAGTCACACAGGTTTATTCAACATCACAAACCTGATGGCTGTGAACTTGATAAATGTGATGGAGGATCCACTGGTTGTCCTTTCTTCTCCTCACTCTCTCCCTCACAGCCTACATCGTCTTCCTCAATCTCAGGATTGAATGCTTCTGTTTCTGATTTGTCAGCTTCCTCACTAACCATCTCCTCCTTCTCTCTTTCATCCTGCTCCTCGGCTCTGTTATCTTCATCCTCCCTCTCTCTACATTTTTCCTTGCCAACAGTGGTGAAAAATGAGGCAATGTCTCTTTTTCTTTTCATGATTACTGACGTTTCCTGTGCTGCAAGAAAGTAATGGATAATATCTAATTGGCATAACTGTGACAGAATCTTAAAAATCCTTAAGTTTAAAACTAGCAACTTTATATTTAATTCACTGGTAAGAAAGAAAATATTATTAGTTCCTAACCCGTATGGACTGCATTAGGCAAAACAATGACGCCAGGTTTCATTGCAGTAAAAACGACAGCAGCACTCAAAGATGAGCCAAACAGCGCATCAACAAACAATCATATTTCTTGCTTACCTCCGTCTCTTTACACCATTTTCCGTTAGTCGTCCGACTCGTCTGTAAATGCTATTCTTCTTTTTTCTTTTTCTCGTTGAGAAATATTAGCGCGCACCGCACTAAAGATTCCGCGTGAAACGTTGCGGCATATTAGTTCCAGTTTCCGTGTCATCGCATTCGGTTCGGTGCAGGGGCCATAACGGGGGCCAGGGCCGGTTCTACAGGGGCACCGGCCCCTGTTGGCCCCTGTCTAAAACCGCCTATGTCTTCAGCAAATGTGTTGATGGATAATCTGGCTTTATTGGCCTGTGGAACCAGCTTGGCTGGTTGCTGAGGCAAAAACTTGAGTGTCGGAAGAGCTTGAAGGGGTCATGGAGAAAGACTTTCGTATGGCTTCGAAGCAATTGTGGTCCACAATCTGGAGTCCTTGGAAACAGTACAGAACCAACACTCTTTAAAGTTGGGGGTGGTGTGTTTCTGACCTGGACTCGGGACATTTTGTGTCTGTGGTCAGAATTCTTCGAAGACCTATTTAATCCCACGAACAAGTCTTCATTGTGGAAGCAGAGTCTGGGGGCTCCGGGTTGGGTTCTCCCATCTCTGGTGCTAAGGTAACTAAGGTTATTAAAAAGCTCGTCGGTGGCAAGGCCCCAGGGGTCTAGGGGAGACTGGGGTGGTGGTCCCTCTATTAAAAAAAGGGGACCGGAAGGTGTGTTCCAACCACAGAGGAATCACACTCTTAAGCCTCCTTAGTAAAGTCTGTGCCGGGGTTCTGGAAAGGAGCGTCCCTCGGATAGTGAATCTCAGATTCAGGAGGAGCAGTGTGGTTTTCATCCTGGCCGTGGAACACTGGATAAGCTCTATACCCTCAGCAGGCTTCTGGAGGGTGCATGGGAGTTTTCCCAACCAGTCTACACGTGTTTTTGGATCTGGACAAGGCATTTGATCGTGTCCTTCGGGGGGTCCTGTGGGGGGTACTTTAGGAGTATGGAGTACCAGGCCCTTTAATAAAGGCAGTAAGTTGGACTCGTTTCCGGTGAGGGTTTGTTCACAAGTTTTATGGACAGAATTTCTAGGCGCAGCCAAGGTGTTGAGGGGATCTGTTTTAGTCTCGAGTCATATGCTATTCGGAGATGCCGTGGTTCTATTGGCTTCATCAGGGCTTGATCTATAGCTCTCACTGGAGCAGTTTGAGCAGCCAAATGTGAAGCGGCCGGGATGAGGATCGGTGTCTCCAAATCTGAGACCATGGTCTTGAGCAGAAAAAGGTTAGAGTGCCTTCTCCGGGTTGGGGAGGATGTACTACCCCTAGTGGAGGAGTTTAATAATCTTGGGGTCTTGTTCACGAATGAGGGGAAGATGGAGCGGGAGATTAACAGGAGGTGTGTGGTGTCCGCTGTGAAGCGTGCACTCTACCTGCCTCTTGTGGTGAAAAGAGAGCAGAGCCAAAAGACAAAGCTCTCAATTTACCAGTCAATCTACATTCCTACTCTCATCTATAGTCATGAGCTTTGGGTTATGACCGAAAGAACGAGATCCTGGATACAAGTGGCCAAAATGAGTTTTCTCCATAGCGTGTCTGGGCTCTTACTTAGAAATAGGGTGAGGATCTCAGTCATCTGGGGAGGACTCAGAGTAGAGTTGCTGCTCCTCCACGTCGGGATGAACCGGTTAAGGTGGCTCGGGCAGCTGGTTAGGATGCCCCCCATACACATTCCTGGCGAGGTGTTCCGGGCAAGTCCCAACGGGAGGAGGCCCAGATGTAGACCCAGGACATGTTGGAGGGAGTATGTTTCTTGGGTGGCCTGGGAATGCCTTGGGATTCCCCCAGAGGAGCTGGCAATAGTGACTGGGGAGAGGGACGTCCCCAGCCATTAGTGCTGCTACCCCTGAGACCCGACCCCAGATAAGTGGAAGAAGATGGAATGATTTATGGATGGATGGATGGATGGATGGATGGATGGATCAGCAAATGTGATGACGTGAACCCATTAAAGAATCAAAAGGACAGTTAATTAATGATGATTTAACCTGTTTTTGTTTTTGCTGTTTTATAGACCATGTCTGCCAACTCTTCCTTTTCCACTGGTAACTTCTCTGATCCCCTCTCAACCTCCAACTCCTCCACCGTACCATATTACTTAGCATGTCAACACTCAGTGCCAAGAATGGCAGTATTTACTATGTATGCCATCATCAGCACCCTCCTCTTCCTCCCCCTCTACATCTTCGTCCTCTACATCGGGATCCAAAAATGGAGGCATCAGCGCTTTGAACCAGCAAGAATATCAACAAACCCCTCCGACTTCTACACGCTCAACATGATGATTTCAGAGATAATTTGCGCTCTTGGATCAGCCCTCTTTGTTTTAGCCATGTTTTCGGGAGGGAGGCTTATGTACCTGTTGGGTCTGTATTTTTTCTCAATCAATGTACCTGGACAATCTCTTTTTCATTCCCTGACCTGCCTTGATCGCTATCTAGCTGTTGTTCACCCCATCACATACATGCTCAAAAAGGACACACTTGGAGTCAGAATCAGAAACATCAGCAACATTTGTGTTTGGCTGCTGTGCTTTGGTTACCTGGGGATTGTTTATTCACATTTGCCAAACTTTCCCATTATTCCTTTTTTCACCATTTTAGGGATCAGTATAAGTGTTATGTTTTTCTGCTGCTTTTCTGTTCTGTGGGGTCTAACTCACTCAGCACCAGGGGAAGTGCAAAATCATAAGAAACAGGTTGACCAAACCAAACAGAGAGCTTTTTACATTATCTTGGCCATAACAAGTACTCTGATGTTGAGGTTTACTGGCCTTCTGGTGGGTTTTGGATTAAAAAATGTAGGATCACTGGATCAGAGGAATTCTTGTGGAAGGCTGGATGCAGCAGTCCTTTTAACCCTTCCTAGTAGTCTTGTTTTGCCTCTTCTGTTTTTACACAGAGCAGGAAAACTATCATGCTGGAAGTAAACTGGTGGTTTAGAATGGTGAGTTCAGACAAAAACTCTTTGGATAGGAGGACAAGATACTACTCTGTTAGATATACAGCCAAAATTTTATATTTAAGAAGATTTGAAAAATCCCAACCAATACAGGGTTTCCGTGGGTCATTAGAAATAATTAAATTCATTAAATTTAGATTTTTTAAATTAAGGCCTTAATCTGCATTAAAATTCATTAAATGTAATTATCATTTTGAGATGCTTTATAAAAAAAGAAAGAAAAACGTTTATAAAAACAATTTCGTCAGATATATTGTGTGGCGATATATTTGTGCAGAACTGCTTCCGGTTGATCCTAAAGCCGTATGTTCGGTAAAGAAGCTTGAGGCCGAGAAAAACCTAAAGAATGGGGAAAATACACATTGCAAACAAAAGTGGCTGGAAAATGAGGCATTCATTATGGCTACAGCCTGTCGACGGTAAAGATTTTTATATATATATATATATAAATAGATATATATATATATATCTATTTATATATATATATATATATTTATAGATATATATACCTATATATATATATATATAGGTATATATATCTATATATATATATATATAGATATATATACCTATATATATCTATATATATAGATATATATAGATATAGATATATATATAGATATATATATAGATATATATGTATATACACACACATATATATATACACACATATATATATATATATATATATATATATATATGTATATATATATATATGTATATACATATACACATATATATATATAAAATATATTTATATATATATATAATTTAATGCTCTTAGAAATTATTTTATTTTAATTATTTAATGCCATCAACAATTACTGACTACATGACTCTCTCTCTCTCTCTCTCTATATATATATATATATATATATATATATATATATATATATATATATATATATATATATATATATATATATATATATATATATATATATATATATATATATATATATATATAGAGAGAGAGAGAGAGAGAGTCATGTAGTCATATATATATATACATATATATATATATATATATATATGTGAGTCATGTAGTCATGAGAGTACTTGTTGATGGCATGACAATAATTTCTAAGAGCATTAAAAAGTATTAGATTATAGTTACTCATTCCTGTATAAACCCTGTAATAGCAATGAAGAATCTTATGACTACTTGACATTGTTGGTACTTTATATAATAATTTTGGAATGAATGTGTAGATTGAATTAAAACATAGCTGTGAACTTTAGGTGGAGCTGTTGTAAAGTTGCGTCAAATGTAGATTTTTTTATGTATTGAGGCACTCTAACATCCATTCTTCATGTTGCCTAATGTGATGCTGCTGGCCTGAAAATTAAGGAAGCTTCCACTAAAATTATTTTGAACTTCATTCTGATGTAGACTTCTTTCAGATTACTTTTATGAAAATAATGTAGCATATTTTGGATCTATTTTATTTCATCTTAGTGGGATCTATGTGTTGTTATTTTGTGGGTATTTCATTTTATCTTAAATTGTAACATGTTTTGATGTCAGTTATACAAGTAAATTTAAATTTTTAGCAACCACTTTGTGGGAGCTATTGGAGATCTAAATAAAGGATAAAACCTTTTTGGTTTTTGCGTTTATTGCTGCCATTTGGTTTCAACCTCCAAGACTCCAGGATTGCGTCACAAAACCCAGATAAGGGATCAAGCTGGGATTTTTTTTAGATATCCTGTTTTAATTAAGCCTCTATCCATAAATCACCATGCTGCTTTATTTTCTATGCAGCTAACCTGCCCCAGACCATCCTGACCGCCAGGCTTAGTTAATCATGGAAACCGATGAGTTTTGTCAGGGATTCTGTTTTCTTTTCCATGTTTCTAAGGCCTACTTTAAAATACCACTGATAGGTATTATTTTTTCGTCAAGTCCTGTAATTATTTTTAACAGCATTATGGTAGCCTTTACCATTATTAAGTTTACAATTTTCTAAGGGAAAGTTGTTATATTGGATGTGTTTTTGAAGACTGTTTATCTGAGTTTGACAGAAATACCTTTTTATAACCTATTGCGGTGATGAAGTGTTTTTAGGGGTATGGCTGAGCAAAGGTGTCCATAAAGTCAGGCTTCCAAATACATACGTCTGACCCTGAACCCCACACTGCTCCCAAAGGGGATGGATTAAATGCAGAGTTGGAATTTACCCATTGTGGGAGAATAAAGGGATTTACATTTGGTTGAAAAGTCAGGCTTATTTGGCTAAGTATGGTTTAGTAGGTTGACATTGTGTTTCATAAAGCTCAGCAGAAGCTCAATTAACTGAACTAAGATATCAGTTAATGTTTTAATTAAATTCTTTCACACAAAAAAATTCATTTTCACATTTTTGACCGATCAAACAAGGGCAGGATTGGGGCCGCGCCTTTTTGCATGTGTTTAGGAGGGCTCAGCATTTAAGCCCAGCACAGTTCTGATGCAGATCCTTACACAGGTGGGGTAGGGATCCGCATCAGGTTGCTGTTATGCAGATCTGGCAACATGTAAAATGATCAGGATCCAGATCTGCTTTTACTTGGCAGCGTAAATGGACCTTAGCTCTGACACAGCCCTAACTGTTTCACAGACACTTTGCATAGGCCTGCGCTTCATTGCAATGGATATAGTTACTTGAACATGAAAATCCGGCCCAGATTTCAGCTACTTGACTTCATTTATTTTGAATGAGGTTTTTTACACAGCAATTTTATTAAAATAAGTGCATTTTGTCTTGAATTGACAGGGTAAGTGGGAAACCTTGGCAATGGAACAAGACTATTTGAATTTAAAATAGCATTATCTTATTTCAAGAGCATATTATTTAATTATCTTATTTTAAGAGTTAAAATACTCATTCCATTGGGAAATAATTTATTTACCCACTCAAAGTAAGGGTAAATACACTTAATTTAACTGATTTCTAGATCATTTTGCAGTGTAGTACTTAGTTTAAACCTCTTGCAGAGTTATGGCTGATCTAAACTTGGAAACCAGGTCGTCTGCGTGTGTGCCGCAGGTCATGTGATACACTGCTGCAGGAGGAAAACCAGCCCTTTACTGAAAGGGAAACAGCAGCTGTGTTTTCCATTTCTTAGAAAGCAATATTTTGTCATTTTTTTCAGTCCACACAAGTTTCTTGCTGACTAAACTCGAATCAAAAACATGTCACTGTTCAAAAACCATGAATTAATCTTGTGACAGAAACTAGACCCATCTTTTTAAACACTCTTTTTTCATGATACTGCCACCACCATGTTATTCTATAATGCTGGATTTCGATGATGAGGCAAAGATCTGAAGCTCACTGCTTTCCAGGATTTTCAAAAGTTTCCATTCCTACAAGGTGGGTCACTAGGCCATTTCACCAACAACAAGCAGTTTCTTTTTCTTCAGAATATTTTTAAGTTTAGGTTTCATCTCGTTGTAACAGCCTCAAACTTCTGCAAATTATAACTACTGTGCATCAGTCAGAGAAGTTATTTCCGAACATGCCTGGATTTTAAGAACTTTTTATTGTTGTGCTGTGTATATCATTCTACACCATAGCTGCAAACGCTGTCTTTGCATACATGCAAAATAAATGTTTTGCTCATGAATGGGCAGCATTGTCTGCTTTTAGGTCTCAATTTCACATTAAGCAATTGAGAATAGGAATCGGATTTACATAATAGGCTTAGTTAGATTTAGTTACATGGCAGCATTTGATCAGTTTTGTGTATCTGTTTGTTTAACCCTGACCTGCTTGAGGAATATATATTCAGTTATCGTAGGAGACTCTCAAAGTCAGAACCAACAAAAGGGGAAATCTTGGAGAAGGAGAAATCCAAACCACTGACAAGATTCAAATTATCAGGTATATTTTAGGATTTTGACAGAAAATATCTTTTTTTTTTACATTTAGTAATGCTAATTAAGATAGATTTTTCTTATATATATATATATATATATATATATATATATATATATATATATATATATATATATATATATATATATATATATATATATATATATATATATATATACATATATATATATATATATATATGTATATATATATATATACGTATATATACATATATATATATATATACATATATATATATATATATATATATATATATATATATATATATATATATATATATATATATATATATATGTATGTATATCTCCTTCGGTCTAAGAAAGCATTTTTTGTAGATATGAGGTTACTTGTCTGGACATAATGGTCAGAGAATATAGTTTTGTTAATTTTATTTTACTGTTAAGTATTAATGGCAGTTGGTGAATGTGAACATTTTTCTGCAACACTGCATGAGACTTAACTATGCTATTACATAAAAATATGAGGGGTTGTGATAATGGGGTGGACAAATGGGTAAATTTATTCATTTGATTTTAACAAGTCAAGTTTTTTAACTCTTTATCCACACGTTATTATATTCTTCATTTCAAATTCTGAATCAACTTTAAATACCATGTTTGTGTGCACAAAAAATAAAGTTTTTAATGTTTTTTTTAGATCATAATCAACAGTACATATAACATGATGTGATAAATGGGATCGAATGGGAGACAGGTGTAATAAGAAAAAAAGAATAATAGCAGTATGTGAAAGTTTCTCTTTTTCATTTTATATATAGATAACAACAGGACGCCAGGCAGCAACATTGCAAAGGTATCAGCTGTTGTATTAAAGTGTATTACTACTCTGGCTGTGATGTATTAAAGGAACTGCCTTTGTGTTAAATGGTTTTAATCAATTGCAAGGAAGAAATAACATTGGTTAACATTGGTTATGTAATGATACTACTATATTGCAGACTCAGGAGGACAGTTAATTAGTGAAGGTTTAACCTTGTTTTGTTTTTGCTCTTTTTATAGACCATGTCTGCCAATTCTTCCTTGTCCACTGGTAACTTCTCTGATCCCCTCTCAACCTCCAACTCCTCCACTGTACCCTTTTACTTAGCATGTCAGCACTCGGTACCCAGAAGAGCAGTATTTACTGTGTATGCCATTATAAACACCTTCCTTCTTCTGCCTCTCTTCTTCTCCGTCCTTTACGTCGGGATCCAAAAATGGAGACATCAGCGCTCTCAACCAGCAGGAATGTCAATAAACCCCTCAGACTTCTACACCCTCAACATGATGATTTCAGAGACAATATGTGTTTTGGGATCAGTTTTCTTTATT